TAGAGACCGTAATATATATATGCATTGCGGCAAATTTATGAAACACCCAAAATTTTAAAAATTTGACTACTAATATGTAAATATAGATTTTAACTGAGATCAACATTTCCCGAGTTATGATGCGTCATTCTAATAAATTTCCATGTGAATCTGGAGTGAAAAAGATAGGTTAGCCTGTGGGAAAGGGTTAGACGTGTAGATCAGAGGCCCAAAATTTTTTCGAAGTTTACATGTCTGAATTTTAAGTTAATTTCATAAATTCACCGTGATGTATAACTTACTTGAAGCAAATCATTAACTAGCTTGAACAATCTACGAGTGTTACGCTGAACAATTTGAAGATGTGAATACATAATTGTTCCTTGCATACATTAAATAAAAACCTCATCAAGCGGTGAAAGTATCAATGTTAATGGGGCTATAGATGATAAGATAAAAATTAGTAATATTTAAAGAGTTATAATACGTATATTTATGATAATTGATAAGTACTTAGCAATCGTGACTAATATTTTGGAAAAACGTTAGTTTTTGCTGACTTAAATCAGCCAGCATTTCTATTTGTTTTCTTTCCTCCTCTCTTAATTTGCCATTTGCTATTGTTGTGCTAACGTAATTCACAACCTACTAAATAAATAAATATTTATGAGAATATTTCCGATATTACAAAATATAAAACCAATTAAGCAACTCACTCGTAAAAATCCTGTATATTCATCGTCAAGTTCACGATTTGGATTAATACCACAAATTAATATAGTAGATAAAATTTGTTCACCACCATACGAAGTCTTAATTGGAAATAGAATCGCTTGAGAACCATCTTTCAAAAGGACTTTTATATCTTTATCTTCTTTTACTACGAGATGGACTGGCCAAGATTTACATTTTAAAAATAAATGATTTGTTTTTAATCGTTTTATTTCTACATATATATCATAATTTTCATCTGAATTTTCCATTAAATTAATTGTTTTAGGAGTCTAGTAAATTGTCAGGTATATCCCAACTCTCATTATTTAAATCTTTATGGTTAAAAGTAGTGGATTTTAGGCGAGCAGCACGAGATTGGAAACCAGAACTTAATTTGTTGTTATCGATAAGATAAATCAATGCGAAAGGAATGTCTTTATCATTTTTACGAAATGAAGTCATTATAATGTTGCAGGCACTTTCTAAAGAATCAACATCTTTAAGATACAATGCAATTGAGACGTATTAATATATGATTGATTTATTAGTAAACGAAGACAACGACTAACCATTAATACGGTTTGCCAAATCATTAAGAGTCTTCATCCTTCTTTTGGCTAAAACTTTATAAGTTGTAAAATCAGACATAATTATCATAGCCCAAAATGTTCCATCGTCTTTAAAAATTGGGCTTGTCGTATGACTAATATAAGTTTCTTCTATGTAATTATCATAATGTCGCGGAAAGTATCTATCATTTTCAAAAAAACCTTTTCCGGACGATTTGATTCTTAGGTTTAATTATAATGAATAGTAAATAAGATGGTTGCATATTTAGCAATAATAATAAAAATGAGATTTTTGCACTTACAGCTCATATTTTGACTTTACATAGTCAAAATGCTCAGGGTTAAATTCAATAAATGGTCTTCCAAATGCTAAAATTATTTTTTTAGTTAAAAACAAAATATGTAGATTTGAAATTATATAGTCATAACTAACCGGATGGATGTTTCGATTTTTTCAATGATGCAACCGCTATAAAAATAGGCATAATTAGCAATTTAAGATATAAATATTGTGAAAATTGTTAAGTTGAAACACTTACATACCTTGATTATAAATTTGAATAAGATCAGGACCGCAGAAAATACTAGTAGGAAACTTTGAATATAAACAGAGATTCTAATAATTGACGGATAAATTTATAGTAAATTTACGTAAAAATGCTGTTAAGCTTTTATGTATTAAAAATTTAAAAATTATAAAGTACCACAATGTTCTTAAATGAAGGTTCCCATGAATTTAGAGGACCGAGACAAGTTGAAGACCAGTCATAACTATTAAATAAATCCATTACTTTTATTTCTTCAAATTTATTAATACCGCTGTTTGTTGACATAGGAATAATGAACATGACTGCTACAAAAATAAAAAAATGCCTCTATAGATTCAATATTTACTTGATTATATATATTATATAATTGTCTGAAGGACACTACATACGGAGCAATAATCAACCCTTTGTGAACTTATTTTCCTAATATATTATGTAATCATTCTTAATTGCTTTTATTTTCCTTATAATATTATATAATCATTGTTAATGTACCGAAAGTATATGACGGTTACTTTGTTGTATGAAGATCACGTAGTTTTATTCATTAGTATTTTACGTATTAATTTACACCAATACCATTGATTTGTGCACTTTGGAGGCAACTGTGCGAACGTTGTGAAGCGTACACTACATTTAAAAAAAAAAACAACTACCATTTATGTTCTAATGATAAAATTCCTCGCAGTTCTAGTACGCACATAATATATTCTTCAATTTTAGTCCTAACACCTTATTTTCGCGTGTTATTATACGTATTGTTGCCAATTAATTATTAATGCAAATGAATTTTTAACACAAGAATGGGAGATGTGATGTGCAAATCGGTATAAGATCTTATTTAGAAACCATAAATTTTATAAATTTTCAATTTTGCTGTCATATCTTCAAAAAAAAAAAGCGTTAATGGAGTATCATACTCCAGAGCAGCTCTGGAGTGAGCCCAACCCAAGTTGAAGCGATTTAAAGATATGCTAAAGAAACTGGAGTGAACTGGTGCAACTAGAGATGGGTTTCATGCGTGCGCATGATTCCTCAATCGTGCGCATTAATGCGCATTTTATCCCATCTAAATTTTATATAGGAAAATTAAAGTATATTTAATTTAGGCCAAGGTATATAATGCCAGGAAAATTAAGAAATAGGAATGTAGAAGTTTTGAAAAATTCTGAAAAGAAAATGAATGAACATAAAGATGAGAAGGGTCGGGAAAAAATTTTGGCAAATATCCGATATTTTCCGGAGGGAAAATATAAAATCAAAAAAAATTATATCATGCGATTTCATGCACATTTTATATAACGTGCGCATTAATGCGCATTCGTATTACAAACTGCGCATTTTTCCCCTCACTAGGTGTAACTTTAAGCAAATCTGGAGCGGTTCCGGAGTAAGTTGAGTGGTTGAGGAATAGTTTAACCCAACCCATTAACAACCCTATCGATCTCCGTATTTCAAACCCAATACCGATATCCAGATTTCAAATATAACAATGTAATGATATTTAACGTTTAATAATGTAAGCTTAAAAATATAAATTTTTATCTTATACGAATAAGAATATAATAAAACAATTTAGCTATAAAAATACAGAGATATAACTTTAAAAAAAATAAATCATTTTCTTGTTAACAATTTGCAATTTTTTGGTTTACGGTCATTTTTTTGTACTTGTGATTCTTTGAGTTTGTTCATAGCTGCTGTCATCAAAAATGACTTCTTTTTTTTTTTTTACCTTAGGTCAATTTTCTTTTTATTCATTATACAGGAATGAAGTTAGTGTTCTATTACAAAATTGAGATAGTGAAGTAGATTTTCCCTAATAGTATGTTGCGAGCTTTTCTATAATTGCAATAAATTTTTCTAATGTGGTTTTCGCGATTTTCCATCGCGCTTCAATAATAAAATTGTCTTAAGTTTCATAGCATTTTACTACAGTATAATATGTAAATTACTTTGGTTCTATTCTAGATTTTAATCTAACTCTTAACTTTTAAAGAAAAAATTTGGTGTTGTTTTGTTATATTTAATTATGCATACTGTATCTGTAATAATTACTATATATATAGTTATTTTTAAATTAAAAAATTATTTTATATTTAAGAATTAATTTATATATAGCCATAGGCTACATGTAGCCATACTATAAATATAGCTTTTTTTATAGAAAAATTGTGCAGCCTATTAACATTAGGGGCATTAGGGTTAGGTTTAAAGTTAGGTTAGGGTTAGGGTTGGGGTTGGGCTTAGGGTAAAATTGCGAGAGGAGCATTTTTACTTAGTTACACAACAGGGTTACCCAAGTAAAATTTTGAGATATTAACGATTTTATAAATATTAATATGGCTACATATAACCACGGCTACATATATATAATTCCTACATTTAATACAATAAATTATTGTTGATTTAGATATTTAACAACAAATTAATTTATTATTGCATATAAAAACTCTTTTTTACTCCAAAAGTATAATTTAATTAAACTTTATCGTTATAATATATATATATATATTAGCCCAAAAGGCGATAATCGCCTTTGGCGTAAATTAGTAATTTCCGAAATTAAGTATAATAATAATAGAATCAAATTAAAAAATCATTTAAAAACAGCTTTTCTTTAGAAAATTACCTGATTTGCATTAATAAACCAAGTTATTCCGGGTTGTAAGTCGGTAATAATCTTGTAAACCGATGAATAACCCGGAGTTTAAATTTTATATCGATATTTGGTTCAATTTCGAATGCATTATAAAATTTTAATGCAATATATCAAAAATTAATCATTTTTGGTACTTTTAAGAGTAATCCAAGAGAATCTAACAACTAAAGGTTCCAATGTTCCACGATCAAACCCAATATCAAATTGTATATAAATTTATTCAAATAGGATTCGTAAAGAAGTGTAATTTTATTAATTTAGTTTTAAATCCATCTTCACACAAATAAATAAAATATAATTCATGAATTTATAAGTTTTTACATGTTAATAATCTTAAGGTCATTTGATTTCGAAAACGAATGCATTGAAGTATTGTCTAATATCGTAAAATGAAAACGTGCATGTAAATCTTCCCAATATATTGAATTTATTTAAATAAAACAAAAAAATTGGAAAGGATTTATATAATTGTTATATTATAAATTTAACTTTAAGAACATAGATCTAGACAACGCTTAAATTAATAATTTATGTAGTGTTAGAGATCTCTTCAGAATCATTAGGATTTTCAGCCTTCTTATCAGGTAGTATAACACATTTTTCAATTCTTTCAATATGATACTATATTTAATATTGAGAAATTTTAATGATCTACGCTAAATAATGATAATAAAACATATCATATATAAAATAGAATACATACAAGTTTACGTTTAATAGCCCAAAAATTCTTAATCAATTTTACTCTGTCATCGACAGAGCTAATACCTAAAGCTTTTAGATCTTTATAGTCCATATCGATAATTTCTCGCCAGCTCTTATCCTTGAACGCGGGTGAATACTGTTCCATACCAAAAGTTTTAAGATACGCAGGAAAGTCTAATAATTAATAATAGTTATATATATTAATTGATTAATTGGAAAAAAAATAATAATAACAAAAGAATCCTATATATTATTGAATTGTAAAATATGCTATAATATAAACCTTCTTCCAGTGACTTCAAATCGACATTAACTCTATCTTTACCACCCCAATATTGTAGCTTTTTTCCTTCCTTCATTGCCTATATTATTTAATTGATCAGAAAAAAAAAATGAGTAATCCTAATATATATATACATATCTCTTCTTTTTTGTTTAATGTAACGCCAATTAAACTTTCCTGTTAAATAATTAAAGCAAACTCACAAGATCACATTTTATAATCCAAAAACACGAACCCAATCTCCATGCCGACTCTATATCTTTAACACCCATTAATGTTAATTCATACCGATTTAGGTTTATAATATCTTGCCATCTCATTCCTTCAAAAATAGCAGAATATCTAAGCATTCCAACACCTTCTAACCAGGCAGTGAAATCTTTAAAAGTAAAAAGAAGTTAATATACAAGTAATTAGAATCATAAATAATAAAAAATAGTAATATTTACATAAATTTAATAAACATAATTTAGAAAATAAACATGCCTTCCAATAGATTATAATTAACACGATCATATAAATTATCCCTCAGCCATTTGATACGATTATATATAATCACTTCAGCTATTTCTGGAGTATATGTGCGCCTACGTTTATTATAAGGAAAACTGGGTTTCAAGTTGGTTTCATTTATAGTATTATCAGTGCTTTCAGTAGTTACACTACGAGTAAATGAGGAGTTAATGGGTTTAATAAGTGCTGCATTCGAGAATTGAAAAAGTTTTGCGGGTATGGTAAGTGATCTTGTTGGAATCAATTTCGTCGTTGGTTGCTTTATTCTGACGGCACCAGTTCTGCTAACATTGAAAAATTCAGCCTTTGCCACAATAAGAACAGACCGAATTGACGCCATTTTGGTTTATTAATTCTTGTGAAATTCTTTTAGTAGTATTGTTGTAGCGATCAGATCAAAAATTTCTATTCGATCAGTTTTTTTTTGATTATCTTTTGTGAATTAATTACGGTTAAATTTGATTGGTTAACTGCATATCACATGACTTGTTCGTGTTTTAAATCAACTTTTCGATTAATCTCCTTTCAAAGTGAAAAAATCCGGAATGCAGCAAATCAACGTGGACCTTCGGTTCAGTTATGCTATAAATTTCTTGTCGAGATAACTTTGCTAAAAAAAATAGTAATCAATCAAAATTTTTTTAAATTTACATCACAAATGATCAAGCATGGTCATTTCATATCTTTAGAATAGAATAGTGTTCTGAATTAAATTTTTGATGATTAATATATCCTATTTTTTTCACGATAGAACGTATTGACAAAAAAATTTAGCGAACAATAAGATTGAGTATTTAGTCATTGTGTGATCGATCTTAGCCAAAGTAAATAAATTGCGCAATTTTAGTATTAAACAATTTTATCTAATAAAATTATAAATTTAATAAGACGAAGACGCCATTTTTCAGATATATAACTATTTCTATTTGATTCATGTTCTTTTTTATTTTCGAAAAAGTAAACCCTCAGTTTTTTCATCGATGTTATCTGAATTCAAAGAGCTATTCCAAAATTTTTTACAATCCTGAAAAAAATGATAGCTTTGCACTAACAAATTCCGAATAACACTGCAAAAACCCACACGTCAAAAATACTTGCAAAGATTTGGCCAGGTGCTATTCCATCTAATACTCATCAAAAGTTCTTAATTAAATACGCGAAATTGTGAAGAAATTAAAAATTTAGGTAATAGTTCCAGATAAATATCAAATACGTATAGCTAATAAAACTTTTTTTACAGTTTATAGAAACTTTTCATATAGCCAATTCCAAACCATATCTTGACACCTAACCGTCAAAATTGATTCATTTTTAAAATTAAATTTTGTAAACTTAGTTAACTCTATTTTTTTTTTGGTGAACTTACAATTTAAAAACCTATAAAGTACAGGACAGTTGGTGAAGCGCAAGGAACGTTGATATTAAATACGAATTTGATTGGTGCAGATCACCGTGGTTCCAATGACCTGACACGCGTTAAATTAAGCTTCTGAAAAGACTAAGTCTTGTCATATGAAGCTATTATCATCACAGACACTTACATAAAGAACACCAAAAGCAAATATTGTATATAATTTATTCAAAAAATATCAAACTAATATGAAAATTACTATATTCCAAATTGTGTTAAGCGTAAGTTTACGTGTATTATCACTCGTTTACGTTAATAATCTGGCAATATTCAAATTTATATGTTTAAATTAGTGAATGTTGCTGCGCACTATCATTTATTATTATTGTGACAGGATCATGGCATGTAGGGATTGGAACCGTTTAACCGTTTAAAAATTGCTCTATAGTTCCGGGCAGAATTATATTGGTCGTTGGCCAGAATTATTTAATGCCGGCCAAACTAAACGATTAAACGATTAAGAAAAATTTTAGGTGGTTCCAATCACTAATGGCATGGATGTGTGTTTCTTGAAAAATTTGTGATGTTGGAAGTAAGTATTAGAGCTTCGTATAACAACCATTGTTATAAAATTGGAGGCGAGAACCAGGAGACAAAGGGATTGATTATTTTGGTACACACGATTTGGCTCAAATTAAAGGAAATGCTGTATCTGTTTAAATCAAACACTGTAAGTCAAAAATTCAAATAATTCGTAAGCATAGGTTCATAATTATGTTTTTAACAATTATTTTATTTATTTTGGATTCTAGTACGAAACTTCTATATAGTTTAAAAGGAAATGATATTTGTATAATATGTTTAGATTCAGTTAGTCCAATGCTCAAAAATAGCCATAATCTTAACATGTTAGCAAAGGAAAGAAAATCATCATAAACTTATCGATATAGAAGAGGAATTAATTTCATCAAAGAAAATTTTGACTTTTTTCATAAAATGCAGCAGTCAGCTACTCAGAATTCAAAGAATTTCAAGAGTTTCTTAATTCAAAAAAGAAACTTTAAGATTGCGCAATTACAATTATCTCAAATTGGGAATTAAAAATAATGCCAAAAATGATGAAACACGGTTTATAATTAGAAAATTAATGTATTCATTTTAATCACATTGGTTACTACAATAGTAAAATCTTTATTTAAAAAAAAAATGGTACATAACTTATGTTAAAGAACGTGCTGATGTAATTCTCCCTCACTTCCTTCGATATCTCTCAAATTATCAATCTTTTTCTATTTTTCAACTTTCGCTAAATTTGTTACGTTAAATCTAAGTATTATCATTATTGCAGTAATTAATTTAAGTAGATTTGAATATCAAAACAACATATGTAAAAATAGAGGTTTAAAAATTTTATGTATAACAACATTGCATTATCATTATATTATTTATTTTATTTTTTCTATAACATGGTTCTATTTTTGTATTTAATATTACGAAGTGACAGCTTCCACGCATCAAATTAGAACGTCTATATCTGTAAGAATTTTTTTTTACATTTTCATTTTAATATAGTGATAATTTGGATTCGTTTCAATCCCAACATCTATAGCTGAAAAGAATTTTAAATCGATCTTGTACAGTATTAGTACAGAGGGTCATGTAGTATTACAATTATAAAATTTTAATTAGATTGTGAAATAAAGGCTTTACGACGCAAGTGGCTTTTTTTTCAAAAAATTTATTAAATAATTAAGTCTTTAAAAACGCGTCTTGAAATAAAATATCTTGGGTTGAAATTTTGATTCGTACGATTATTCTAAATATTATACATATGATTTATGATTACTAATATTCGATTATTAAATTATATTAAGATCTTAAGTTATTTCTGGATTCGAAATCCATTTAAGTGGATTCTAAATCCACAAAAATCCGGATCCACTAACAACATTAATACGCACATAGCAGATAGAAAATCTGGGATAGTTAGGTTAGTTCTGAATTCATCATTAAAAAAAATGTTATCGTTATATCAATATAAAAATTCTTTATAACTTTTCCGAAAGTTTCAATTTATTTCGCATAAAAATGATTCACAATACAAAACAGAAACTTTACTATCCTGTATAGGGCATAAAAAAAAAATTGACAAACGGTAAAAAAAGCGACGGCGATTATGAACAAGCTTGAAAAGAACTACAAGTATGTAAAAAAACGAATGACAGCAAAATGTTAATTTACTGCCTATTAAATAAGAGCAAATACAGCAATAGTTCTATTAAATTCTCATCTGTACAATGTAAATATAGGTTGTAAAGTATTTATTTATATCTTTAAACGTTAATATTATTGTTATTAATACGTATTTACAATTCATTAATGTTCAGATTTTTTGAAGGCTGATTTCGCGTATGATTTAATATGAATTACTTTAGGTACATTTTTTTACACAATTAACATACAAAATCGTATCGTATTGGTTTTTTTTTTTTAACTATAGTTATAGACTAGCTCTACACTGTAATGGAGTCGGTTTTTTGTAATAACTTCTACCAAATTTTTGGGTTGAGTTTATTAAAAGTTACCGGAAGTTATTGAAAACCGGCTCTATTACTACAGTTAAAAAAAAAATAATAAAAAAAATACGATACTATTCTGTAAAAAAATGTACCTAAAGCAGTACTAACTCATAAGTTATATAAAATTCATATGGAAATCAACTTCAAAAAATCCGAATATATATGACCCTAATTATGTTTAATTAATCGATTGAACATCCTAATGCAGGATTGGCAATGGAGCACTGAATGGAGCCAAAGGATATTAGTTTTTTGAGCTCCATTCACAAAAAAACTTAGCTCTTGCCAACCCTGTCCTAATGTAATGTACGATTCAAGGTGCTCTCAAGTGCCTAAACTAATAGGTCGGAGCTCAATTTTTAATTAGCAGAAAAATAGTTTAGCCGATCAAGTGAGTTCATTATCGCGATGAAAAAGTAATTATCAGAAACCATCTTTTTTAGAGATGGGCTAAATTGATTACATACTATTATTTAAATATTAATTAATATTATTTGAATTAACAAGAATTTTAAAAAGATTTCGAAAAAAAATTTGTTAAATAAAAATCATACCGATAATTATTATATACGAAATTATTAAATCATTCACGTTACGATTAGAAATACATATTTCAAATCACCGACGCAAATATAGGATTAATTAACATTTGTTATCGATTCTCATAAGTAATTGCTACGTATTTAATTCTAATCTTATCAATAAGTAATCGCCCATCACTAATCTTTTTTTTTTTTTTTATCATAGTAGTTGTGCTGATTGGCTATTTGCATTTCGCACGTGAATCTTCAGCAAAATTTTCCTAACACTAACGCTAAGGATCATTTAAATTAATTATAGTGCTTCAATAAATCTTGCGACGACCATGCTGCTGCGCGACGCATGTCAGTCAAGCATTTACCCAACAGAAAATTCATGATATTAGTCGTTGCATTGACCAATATCTTAGAATTCACAAGTCGATTACTGTAACTACAGTCAGACCTCTATAATTGCACTCTTCACAGTTCATAAATGCATCCTCTATGTAAATTCTCTGGTATGGCCCTATATCTATAAATGTACTTACGCCTAGAGATATGAAAAAATACGCATTTTATAAATAACATGCGCATGAATGCGCATAATTTTTTTATTTTCCTTTCGGAAAATATCGGATGTCTCTTTTTACGTTCGAATTTTATTTCGGAATTTTTCTGACCCTGCATTATACACTCATATATATTTTAATTTCCTACATAAAATTTAGATGGGATATATGCATGATTCCGAATCATGCGCACACATGAAACCCATCTCTATGTACGCCCTTCCTAAATGAATATTTTTGAAAAGTTGCAATTATGGAGGTGGAGGTTTGACTGTAACACGTTCGTACAGTAGCACAATCAAATTCTAATTTAAATTGATTTATTGAATTGATGAGTTTTTTGTTTTATGCATACAGTACTATATTTATTTTATAATATCGATATACAGAAATCGGTGAACTATTAGAAAAAAATCATGTTTATTGAAGTCAAGTTCTGTTCATAAAAATTTCAATTAGTGTTTCAGCTTATCCAAATCGTTATAATAAAGAATATATTAACGTTTAATTTCTATATTTAGACATATATACACATTCGATTTATATGCTATATAACGATAGCGATTAAATTACTAATCATTTTTATATTATGTATTATCATATCATTATACTCATTATACGCACTCAAAAAAGAATCTTGAATAGGGCATTATATACTGTATTATTCACAAAGCCCTCTAGAGTTAACGCTATTTTGACCTTATTATATTATAGTAAATAGCTTTGACTAACCAATAAAATTGTGGATTAATAAGTAACACAATTTCTTTCTAAAAAAAAATACACATGGTACGTATCTTTGGAAATATGCGGCTTAAAATAGAATTTTACTTGCTTTAGTTAATACCAATATTGGACAATAGAGATAGACGTACGTAGCTGTAAATAGCAATAGCTTATTTGTTTTTTTACGATGCTTTAGCTGGAAAAATATATTAAATTTTAAAAGTTCCATTTATATACAAAAATAAACTTTAAATTATTTAAATGTAAATCGGGGCACAGAAAATGTCTGGTACCTTGTTTCGATTTCTGGCAAGAACAAGAGGGTAATTGAACGTTATGTATGACCTGTCGGTCTATGTAACTCGCTGTTACTTTCAGCCAATCCTAAAATGGATTCATTATGGGATAATAAACCAATAAGGTTTGAATGATCGTGGTACGTATTACATTATGAAATTAATGATATTTGATAATATATATTTCAGTATTTATAATCGTTATTAGTTAATATATACAGTAATATACAAAGAAGCGAATTTACGACATATTACATTCAACATATTGTACTTCACATGCTACGTATGTGATGTTCTACTAAATTGATTTTATATAAATAGTCATCAAATTTTAACCCTAATTTTTTCTCAAATCAGCATTTTTTTTTTTTTTTAATACGAATTTATTATTTTTTTTTGTTTTTTGTATAAACATTCATCAAATTTTTTTATCCAAATTTTCTCAAATCAGCATTTTCAAAAAAAGAAACACTAAGCAACAATGAGTGAAAAATGGGACAATACTATGTTAAATTTCGTTAATGCGATCTCAAAAGATACACAATGTACTGAATTGATTAAAATCTTAGTCGAAAATTTTTTTAACGATGATTCATTAGGTATATTTACCTTAATATCTGAAAGATCCAAAGATATACTTCATAAGGATGAAGTCGAAAAAGAACTTAAACAAAGACGAAATACTATAGAAAGAATTAAGCAAAATCTTATTAATTATCGTGATGCTCCAAAAGAATGTCGAGCTGATCACATGAAGAGTTTGGTTGAACTATGTGATAGCTTTTATAATAATTTAGTTACCGGAAAAAATATGGATAATGTACAATTAATTACTATTGCAATTACCTTTGTGTTTGTTCATCTCACAATATTGAGAGAAAGAAATAGGCATTCTAAGGTATATATTTCTCTATGTAATTTATTTATACAGTAAATTTTTATTGTCGTAACAAATATTAAACATTTGTGTCCTTTATTTTTTTTAGGAGATATACTCCAAGGAAAACAAGGCATATGAAACTGATTTAACACAAAAGGTTCAAGATTACAAGCAATATTTTATATCAATGTACGACAGATGGGAAGATTGGCGTAAAGCGTTTATTCATATTAAAGGTCGTGAAAACCATGCTATAACTACATTTCCTTGTTTAGTACATGATACTTTTCACGAATTGTTTATAACTTATAAATATCCAAATTCTATTGATGAGGCAATGTGGAAAAAATATCAAGAATTATGTAATCACGGACAATTTGCTTTCCTCAATGAAGCTAAAGATATATTTATGAATGCGTATTTATTTACCTTTGATTTGAATAAATTTTTACCTAATAATTGGTCTGCTCCTTCCGAAGCTCCTAACAAAAAAATTGGTACTCTTTATTATGGAATTGTTGGAAAAGTTACTATTCCACATCCAATGGAGTATGAAACTGATTATGAAGAACCTTTTAAATTATCTTCTGATGAACCTGGTATTATTACAGGTTTAAACATTCATTATTCCGATGTTGTACATGGTTTCACCATTAAGTATAAAGGTGGTACTGTAACCAGTGTAGGGGATGTAAAAGGTGGAGAAGCGACAACTGTTCGAGGTCTTGATGAAGAAAATTATATAACTTCGGTGGAAGTTTACTTTAGTGATCGTGTTATTAGTGGTCTTCAGTTTTATTTCAACGGTAATAGAAATACCGAAATTCTTGGAAGCGACGTAAATGCAAATAGATTTGTTGGTGGTCCTACTACGGATTTCAAGTTGGCAGCAATTCAAATGGCTTCATCTAAATCTCATTCAAAGAAACTTGATTGTCTCGGTTATACTCTCTTGGTTTTTGAGCATTTACGAATAGCTAAAGATTAAAATGATTAAGAAAAAAAAAACCAATGAACAATGTTATATTTTTTTTACTTTCCCTTCTTATTTATCCTGTTTATATTTATACTTTTTTAATTCTTTAATCTGTTTATTCTATTTTAAATATATACTTGATGTAAGAAGCTATCAATAAATGAGAAATTTAATACGTTGATAGAAAATTGTAATTCTTTTAATTAGTATATTCAATTAAATTATTATACTTCTCTATCGAATAACATTTGAATATCTGATACAATGGTATTAAAACTATACTTTCAAATCTTCCAAATAATCGTCCAATTTATATATTTAAATATTCTTTTCTCTCATTAAAAGTACGCATTCAAACCGAAGCTAATATGCAATCAATTTTAACCTTTTAATAACAATTAGGATTGCAATTGACGGTTGAACATGTTACCACCGTAATTACTATTTTTAAAACGAAGGCATATGTAATTTTTATATGCTGATACACATATATCGTTGGCCGTACTAATTATTTTCACGCAGAACTACACTTTTTATCGCGTAAAGCTTATGTGCTGATTTGAAAATTAGTGGGACACGTGATGAATTTGTGATGATCGAAATTACGGGCAGTTTTCGGTAGCAAAGAATATATATGGGGAATGGCCTAGGAAAACCTGCCTTCGGCATTAGCTGTCGAAGGCAGGCTTTCCTAGACCATTCCCCATATAATCTCGGCCGGTACATTGCCTCGGTATAATCATTTACCGACCGAAAATTATATTATCGAAAACTATACTTTTAGTTAACTTTTAGTACGGAAAAATAATTAACGAAATTTGCCGACGATCATCACGTGTCCCGCTAATTTTCAAATCAGCTGTAAAAGACAAAAATACGTTAATAATAGGATTGGTTTGTGCATTTATCGTGTCAAAAAGAAATATGTTACACGATAATCGATCGTAGGATAGACAAAAAAGGAACGCATTAAACGTCTTCTTAATCGATTAAAATCTTATAAGGTGATAAAAATAAATGAATTCCTTCAATTTACTAATTAATCAAATACAATAATACCTTCAATTTACTAATTAATCAAATACAATAATACCTTCAATTTACTAATTAATCAAATACAGTAATACGAGGTGCATTAATAATATTGTAAGATTTATGCATAAATAGTCGGTAAAATATTTACTAAGGATGTTCCAAAACCCAAACATAATCTGGGATCTCAAAGATTTTTACTAGAATCTACAAATACATCGTTAGCAAACTTCAAATTTATACTGTCTTTATTTTCTAACTTAATTAATCAAGGAATTAACACTTGATATGGCCTAATTCATATGATACAAAGAATTTAATTTCAACGGTTTATTTGCTTATCCCTAAAAAACTATATACATTTACACACTCGAATAAATTAAAAATAAATAAATCTCTTTCTTACATCTAAAATTTGTTTATATAAATAATTTACATTGATTTCATCAACTCCTCTTTTACAGCCTTTTTATAATATTCAAACGCTTTTTCTTCGTCAACATGAGTTCCTATCCCAACCTTATAACATTCACCAAGTTTTTTATATACCGGAACATATCCATTATCACCCGACAGTTTATACAATTCAAAAGCCTTTTTTTCATCTTGTTTAGTCCCTTCTCCAAATTCATAACAAGATGCAAGATTATACTGTCCTATAGCTAATCCTCCTTCTGCTGCTTTTAGGTAATTTTCAAATGCTTTCTTATAATTAATTTCGGTTTCTATACCATATGTATAACAATATCCAAGATTATTATATGCATCAATACACCCACCTTCTGCCGATATTTGGTATAATTCAAAAGCTTTTTGATTGTCTTTTGGAGTTCCTTCTCCATGCTGATAACAAAATCCAAGATTATATTGTCCTAAAGCGGATCCTTCATCTGCAGCTTTTTGATAATATTCAAAAGCTTTCTTATGATTAATTTCCGTTCCAATACCACATGTGTAACAATATCCAAGATTATTATATGAAATAACGCAACCTTGATCGGCTGATTTTTTAAATAATTCAAATGCCTTTATTTTATTTTTTACCGTTCCCATTCCATATTGATAACAAAATCCAAGATTATTTTGTCCTAATGAAAATCCTTCGTCTGCTGCTTTTCGATAATTTTCAAATGCTTTTTTATGATCAATTTCTGTTCCAATACCTTTACTATAACAAAATCCAAGTCCATTATATGCTACTACATATCCGTATTTTGCTGATTTTTGATCTAATTCAAACGCTTTCTTTTCATCTTTTGCAATCCATCTTCCATGATAATAACAATCTGAAAGAATACATTGAATTATATGATTGTTTTGATTATTCAAGCACCAATTAATTATATCTTCTGGTTTTTGTTGTTCCGAGATAAAAAATTGATTTATTCCGTTAAGAATCATAGTACTATCCTTTCCTTTCATCCTTTCTTCGTTATAATAATTACATAATCTTTCAACCACCCTTTTAATAATATTATTACGTGAGGTAAAGCTTATTGAAGATCTTTATGAAATTAAAAATTAAAAGTTAAAAATAATAGCATTACATATAATTCTATTATATATATATTTCATAAAGATTATTTTTTTTACTTACACTTTAATTTTTTTCTTTGAACGTTTTTTAGTCATTCTTTTTTGTTAAAAACAAAAAAAAACAAAAAACAAAGTTCGTTTTTTAATCTATAAATTTTTTAAATTATTTTTATATAATAATAAAGTTCATTATAATTTTTGTTACCTGTTTAGTTAGTAAGATACGTATCGGTAACTTTTATGATTCTTTTGGTTCGTCTCTAGAAAATTTGAATTTGAAACAAGATGCATAATGACGTAAGTTAGAATTTAATACGTAAATTTACGTATACGCACTGGTACACATGTACATGTAACGTATGACTAGAAATTATATATACTGATATAGGCATGATTTATACATGTGGTTAAATAATAATGCTCCTAACTGCTAATAGTAAAATTGTAAGGATTTTTCTTTGAAAAGGTTAAGTAATTATAACGTAACTGAATAAATACGCCAAGAGAATCATGATTTTGAGGCTTTGAAATTTATAACTTATAATGGGTTCAGCCCCTGAAAATCTGATCAGCGAAACATGTTGTACGTACATCGCCAATCAGAGAATTTGACAGGGCATAAGATTGATAGGTTCCCCGGCATCACCACTAGAAATTTTGCATGATGATCAAAAAAATTAATGAAACTTCTTTATTCTGTACGTACGTACCTGCTCTTTATCCCATAACAGAAGGTACAAAATAACATCCGAGTTTTCTGCCGGTAGTTACGTAATCAATCTCCTTAGTATACTCCTAAAAAATGTTACGTTCAAAAAACTATAATTCTTACCTCCGCTTCGTTGAATAGTAGCAGCATTATGATGAAAATCTATTAAACTACAATTTGGATATGAATTTTGGATAATTTAGTCATACTGATATATATGCAGATTTGGAATCGACTTCATATAAGTGGATTTTGGATTCTAAAATAACTTAAGTGAGAATTGAATTTTAAAAGCGAATAAGCAAATTTATTATAAATATATTTAAGAATAATTTTTTTTTAAAAAAAAAAAAAAAACAATTTTAAAGAAAAAAAAGCTTTTTAAAAGAATATATACCGTATCTAAAAATATACATTTTTTTTTTTAAAAAAAAAAAAAAAATATATATATATATATACATTTTTTTAAATATATATATATATATATATACATTTTTTTAATGGGTATCCGTTTGGCTCGCATACTAAATTTAGTACAAATAAAAAAACTAATTTTAGATTATTAATTACTTAATTAAATTTGTTCAAATTTTGCTAAAAAATATTTGAATATTAGAACTATCTTTTTGTACAATTCCAGTAATATTTATTAATAAAAATTTTGTACAGCTTACCCTTAAACTTGTTGTATTGTTCTAAAATTTTGCTGTACTAAATTTAGTAAAGTATTAAAAAAATTATATTGAAAGGTTATAAGAAAATAAAAAAAAATCAAAAATTTTAAATTATTTTAGATTTGGGTTTGATTTTAAAATAATTAAAAAAAATGAATAATAATTTTTTATGTAAAGTAGTTTAAATAAATCTGTTTTAAAATGATACAAGTCCAAAAATAGTTAATTGTTTTACTATTTATATAGTAAAACATAATAAAAACATACTGTAGTAAAAATATTGTAAAAATTAATTAAATTAAATTACTTATAACATTTTATATATTAAACCAATTTTAATGATTTTATTATCATTAAAATCAGAAAAACTAGGGCTACAACTTCTACTAATATTTTATAAGAATTTAATCAAATAAAATTTTTGCTATTTATAATTTAGTAAATTTTTAATTATTTTTTAGTTATTTTTTAGTACCAAATTGATAAGCTATCTTATTTTTAAATATACTAAAATAAAATATAAATATAGGATTGAATATTAATTTAACTTTTAATACTGTACTAAATTTAGTATATAGTACTAAATTTAGTATAGCAAACAGATACCTATTAAAAAAAAAACAAAAAAAAAAACATCATTTTTGATCTACTTTCTATTAACAGATTTAACATTATGTGAATGACATCTACTTCTACATACTAGATTAAGGCATTTGCATTTGCAAGAGTTATTTTCGCATTCACCTTTACAATTGCATTTCACAGTCACAGTGGATATTGATTAAATATTTGGGGTGAGTCAGTAGAAAAAAACAAATTTTTTCCAAATAAAAGTTTTTCTAACTTTAAGCTTAAATAACTAAGCAAATATCTTATTAAATTTAATAAATTTTTTATTTTAGTTCTATATAATTTCTAAAAAAATTTTACTAAAAACAATTTAGCTCTTTTTTACTGACTCACTTCCATTTCAGTCAGGGAATATAGCAAATTTGAAGATCGTTTCTAGAACGCATCTAGAATGATCTTTAAAAATTCTTTGCACTGTGATTGGATAATTATAATTACTAATACTTTTACCAATTCTAGAATTTAGGAGCGTTCATAGTATTAAACCTCAACAAGTCGATATTCAAAAAAAAAGTTGAAAACTTCTAGTCACATAATCAGTTGTTATTTTTCGGTAATTAACCTTTTTTGAAAAGGTAAATGAGACTCAAAATAATGGAGAATATTACATTTAAATTTTAATACAATGTATTAATTTCTTTTTTTTTTGTTAAAATGCTTGTATAAAAGCTCCATAACAATATCGCAAACTTCGTCAGCCGTAGAGAAGCCAAGAGCCAAAGATCTTTCTTGTGTGTTTAGTTTAATAGCTAACAAATATAGTAAACTTAGATTAAGACCCTGTAAAACAAAGAAAAAGCAAACCTGGAGACATGCTGATATAGCAACTACTACTTATCGGCTCAAATCATATGTGGATTATATGCCTGAACTTAAACTTTATTTGTATTCACACTCGATTTGTGAAAAACATTATAACCAAGTAATTTTTACTAATTATTTTTATAATCACCTTTTAGATAATCCTGCTTTAAAAAATAAGAGAGCCCAATCTGACACAAGCTCTGATGATTCTGTTTATGAAGAAAATGATGAATTGTATACAGAAACGAGGTGTATAGAAACTTATGAGTGTACAATTGCAGAATTGCAGCAACAACTACAAGAACAAGAAAATAGAGAGCTCATTATTATTACAGAATTTCAACGGAACATCAAAAACCAAGAGTGAATGATATTGGAATTGAGGAGGCAGCTAGAAGAGCGCAATGAAGTTATAGCTTATTTAAAAAATTTATTTAGTAGTAAATTTGATAAGAATAAGAAACTAGTTGAGCAATGGAATTCTTGATACTCTGATCAAGATAAGCGCATACAAGCAGTCACCGATATTGCGCTAATTGAACGAAATTTTTTATATAGCGACGTCGAAGCTTTAATTAGGGATAGCGATAGATTTTCTTTGAAAAATCTATTAAATTATACCCCTCATTTATGGCTAAGTAGACACAATCAAGTTCTTGTAAAATTTATTGAAATATTAACCCATAATAATCTCAATACAGGGTTTGAAAGTGCTGAAAAGGTTTATAAAAGGGTTATGGCCATCGATTCTGTGTATGGGTCCAGACACAAAAAATATATATCGGAAATGAACCTTGTAGCATCAGCAATAAAATATTCAATTACAAGATCAAAAACTATTATCAATATTGATAATCACATTACAAGCTCGGGAGTTTTTTCTGTTTTCAAACTTGGTTAGATGAATTATCTAATAAAGAAAAAGCACTACTAGAAGGCCTCCTATTTTTAGCATTCGACAATGAACAAAGGGGACAAAAAAATTATCTTGATTGAGAACTCAACACAGTGATATTTCACACTGTTACTAGTTTCGTTGCCTTCAATATGAATTCACAAAATTATATTCAACATACTAATAATGCACCTTGGGTATTTAATTCTCTTAATAGGTCTTAATATGAAAGCCTTTTCGATATTACGCTTGAAATACAAGAAGTTATAGATAAGGAATTGCATTTTTATCTTTCCGAAGTTCTTGGTTTATTGTGTGAAGAAAAATTAGTGCAACTAATAAGATTGATTCTCTTGCATCCAACATAGGTTTAAATATTCATTGCAGCAAACAATGTCCTAGCTGTAAAAAAAAGATATTGACAATAAAAAACAAGTTTGCCCAGCATGCAAGCTTCGCCTACCTACATTGTCAGAAATGCAAAGCAATGTGTAGAAGTAGAAGCAGAGGAGGATATAGCTGAACAGTTATTTACCTTTAAACAATATAGTACCGAAAAAAAGACTTGACTATCTAACACACCAAGAATTAGCGTGACTCAAAAAATATGTGCTGATGAAGGAGTTAATGTTCCAAAAATTTTTATATCTAATCCTCTTGATGTTAATCCTAACACAACTGAAAATATTAAAAAAAATTTACTAATATCGAAAAAATTTCAGGAATTAAAGATGAAATATGTAAATGGGTAGCTGTAGCATGCGACAGTATTCCATATTATTAGGCAGCAAAAATTAAAGGAAAATATCTGTGGCTAATTCTCATTTCTGGGCAATTGCATAAAGAAATGAATATACTTCGAGCCTTTCTGGAATTAAATTGGTAAACTTACCTTGTGCTTGAATGTTTTATTTTATATTTTTTAACTTTTAATTATCTAATAGGGATATTGATCTCAAGCAATTCGCTATATGCCAGGGATATAAAACTGAAAATCAACTTTCCTATTTCAAGAAATGCCATGACTATCATAAATCTTGGGATTCAATTTGCAACATTTATCACCAAGCTATGACCATGGAATTGATGTGGCCATATATTAAGTGTCACTCTAATTCATCAGTGGAGAAATACTTGACCTGGGTAAAGGAGCAAATGGATCCATGTTATCAAATGAAATTTGAGCAGGTAGAACTTTTAATTTATTTTTAATAATATATTTATTGGGTTTGTTATTATAAAAAATTATATACATTTTTTATTTGATATTGCTTAATTATTATGTAACTTAAGAATTAATGTTTCAGCTGAAGCTTGAAACAGCTGATGCTTGAAATTAAGAACCTCGATTTAAAAATATAACTCTATACAAATCCACTTGTACTCTTTTATTATAAAAACTAACTCTAAACCCTAACCTAAAACTTTCTAAAATTCATATTAAAATAATTCAAATTTTAAGCATTAGTCATTTCAAGCTTCAGCCACAACAATTACTGCACAGATTTTTACTATCAAATTATTGTATTCAAGAAATATAATTTAAGTCAACTATATTGATTAAAATCTGATTCTTTTTTTAATTGCTAAAGTTATTATAATTCTTTTTAATACTAATTGATTATTTATTTCAAATAGACTTTCGTTTATCTATAGACCATCATTAATTATAGAAAAGCTATTAGGGAAAATAATCCATTATTAAAAAGTGCTGCAAAAAGGGTCTTTTCTCCAGTATGGTCAACATGACATCATCCAATATATCATTACATAGAAGTTGCAGATGAAGTGCAACTGCTACAACTTGATACGGCTATACGAGATGTTGTAGAGAAGAATTGTGTAATTTCACGATCAGGGCTTTTTAACCAGCATCAAGGATTAGATACAGTTTTAGAAGAGATAAATAAATCCTTGAAAGCATTAATACCTCCCGTTCTACAAATGCAGCATTGGAGAATTGCCACACAAAATTGTAAAAAATATTTGCAGGTATTCAATTGCTGTATGAATTAATTTATTTACTAAAAGTTTTTTAATGCTAACCCAAAATTATTGTAAATTTAGCTGCGAAATAATTTTTTCTAATCAATTGGATATAATGAAGTTCAGACGAGTGGTCTGAGAGTTAAACCAGAATCAGTTGCAGAATGTAAAAGGTTTCAAGCTCAATTAAGAAAAGAAAATTTTGTTAATCCGATGGTAGATTCCGGAACTACTTTTAAAAACTTAGGAGGAGAATATGAATTAAGTGCACAATTAATAGAGTTCACTAATTTAGCTAAACAGGCTCGAAAAGAATATATTACTGAAGTTTTTTATAAAAATAACTCTATTCCTTTATTTAGATCTATTCCAATCACCAAAGAAGAAGCGATTAAGCTAATGAGTGATACAAGTATGACCAATGCGAAAATTGTATATAAAATTGAGACACTTCTTGAAAAGGCAAGTGATAGTGTTCGAAAGAAGTATCATGGAATAAAGTCCAAAAGGTGAAATGAACTTCTGATTATATTAGAAGAGGTAAGATCGTTATTTAATTCTGATAATGAGCTTGATAGTCATGAATCTGCTGAAAATTTAGAAGCACAACCACATGATGAAATAGAACATGCTAATCAGAATTGAGATTTTGTAGCGCTCTATTTATTGTGATGGATTAAAATGAAATCGGATTAAAATGAAACATTGTGCAATGTAAAAAAATAGACAAGCTGCCAAAAAAATAAAAATTTTTGAGGTGCATTTTTAGGGCTAGGGGCTAGGGGTTATGGTACGTTAGTTTTAGAGTAGAGTTTGTAATAAACAAGTATAAGTGGGTTTTAAAGGGTTAAATAAAAACCCTTGTTGTATTTTAATCCGATTTCATTATGATTCACAATATTTATTAATTGGTTTGGATTTAAATAAATACAGAAATATATAATTTTTTAGGTTTAAATTAGGATGTTTGTTTAAGAACAGCTTTGATTTAATTCTGAATTTTAAATAAATATAATATTTATTATTTTTTAAATATTTAAAATATACAATTTTTATTTTTATTTTGATAAATGAACTGTCTATGAATAAATAAAGTCCAACCTAGAAGCATTTAGCCAATATGATATGATCCTATCTAAGCAAAACTTTTCGGGTTTCATCTACGCACAAATTAATCACACGATGCTATATCTCATGCAAAATGAATATTTATCCTAATAAGGTTATCTCATATCTTGTACAATATCACACGGATATGTAATATATATGTTGGGTTTATCGCGCATCTCTAAGTATATTACAGCATTTGGCGAATTTAGTCTACAAATACAAGAAATAAAAATAAGTAAAGTTCTGATTGCCTGATCTAAAAACTATTCTTTTAGAAAAAGCTATTATAAAATACAACGAGCTCTGTATGTCACTAACCCTGATTATTACGAAATTTTGGTACTGTAGTAAGTCGAGTAAGCAAGAATTTCGAATTTTTGAATACAAGTAATACGTATACTGGTATTATGTCGCGTTAGATATTTCTAGAATCATGTGATCGACATATCTATTACTATTAAAGGTGTGATCGGCATTACCCAAATTTGGTATAGTACCTGACTGCATTTGCTGTTTCGCGTACACTGACAACATTATCTTGACAAACATAATAAATAAATAAAATAAAATAAAATAAGAAATAAAATTTAGTGATATACAAATTAATACTTAAAATATCCCACATTTTAGACGCCCTAACATGCTTCAAACTGCCCATATGAACCTTGCACAATATAGTATAAAGATGATTAAAAGGACATATGGTTCGCACTAAATTTAATCCATTTTCATTTTTTGTGACTATAATAATTTGCGTATTTTAATTAGTTTCAGTTCCTAATTCACGAAGCTGAAAAGTATTTTTAATCCAGTATCGATCTTTTGGTATTCCTAAGCTTTATTATTGGGTTCATGAAGTACAGCGACAATAAGATCATAATCGGCTTGTGAAATAAAGGTTTTACGATGACTATTTAAAGACTTTCCTTCAAGATATTTATTAATCAAATTGTTAAAAACTTGGTTTGAAATAAAAGAATATTCTTGTGTTGACAATTTGGTAGGTATATTTGCGAAATACAAATAATTCTGTAATTAATAACATAATATTTGTAATTACGTATAATTCGCAATTTGCTTAGTTGCATAAAAATTCCGTCACATCTTAAGTTTTTTTAAGATCCGAAATCAACTTAGATCGATTCCGAATCTACAAATATTCCGTATCCATCTACAACACATACAGTATATCAAAGATACGGCATGTGTAACAGTTTATATTGCGTCCCTTCTTTCGATTAACATTGTATTAACACTATTCTGACAAATTGTGCTCGTTAAAGAAAAAAATTACATTTACTAATATATAGTTTATGAAGTGATTTCCGTTCGCAAAATCTTAAATCTGATTAGTCCGCGTGACTTTATTCATCACATTTGATTATTTTTCACTTATCATTGCATCACATATGTTAATCCTGTCTCAAAATTTAACGTGACCGATGCTTGTGTATGGCAAGCAAAAATGGTTGAAATCATGATGTTTTTATAGATGCCATAATAAATGCATGGGTTTTTTGGCACGAATATCAGTGGCCCGATGAAATTTTGGATATTTCTTTTAGGAATTTTTATTGGTTGATGAATTGATAATTACTAATCTTTTAAAGATTATAACGTCATCATAGGGATTTAAACACTAAATCAGGTAACAACGTTTAACCCTAGTTTCCAACGAGATGTGAGCACTTATCAACCATCAAATATATACACTTTATAGCGTTGGAAATCTACTAGTCGGCAATTTTATTTAGAAAAAAGTTTTCGATATATAAGACATCTGAACGGTTTCTGCAGAAGTCTGAGGCAGTTTACAAAAATTAGATTGTTTTTCATTTTTCGCAAAACAATTGTTAGCGAAATTGTCTTTTTTCTCTTTAGGCACGTACTGTACATGCATGAAGATATATAACAATTGCTAAATTATTGTAGCATGGCAATTATAAATAGAATGCACCAATTCAATAACTTCCTTTTACTTGATTTAATTATCTAAATACCAATACAAAATAAGCAATAAATCTGTTTAATCTAGTGATGTGAATTCTCCCAAATCACAATTTCTCTACCGGTATATACCGGTAGGTGGTAGCTACCGTTAGCTACCACTACCGGTAGTATAGCAGACTTTCATTCTGATTAGCTAATTCTTCTACCTATATATGGGACCCCCACAGGGGATGGACCAAAAAATTTTTTTTAAAAAAATTCAATATCTTGAAGAATCAGATTGATTAGAATAAAATTATCATAAGAACAAATTTTCAAATTTTTTTGCCCATCCCTCCTTTTACTGTGGGGGTCCCATATATATAGTGCAAGCCGTAATCAACCAATCAGATTTAATAAACTACTAACCATCTACCTACCATCTACCACTTTATACATTAACCTCACGGTAGCTACCGGTAGCTACCGGTAGTTACCAGTGGTAGATAGCTACCGGTAGCTACCAACTCACATCACTAGTTTAATCATAAATAAACCAAATATAACTTACCGTTGGGAATTTCATAATCAATGGGTTGACTTACTAAAATATATGCATATAAATAACTAAACTCAGTTTGAATTCAATTTGAGAAAATAAATGTAATTACCTGCATTTACTATATTGACAGATTTAGAAATTAATAACATATTACTAACTTTTAAAAATATAAGTGTTATTACCTGGTTTAGGGAGTTTTGAAATATTCAAAAATCGACTTGTATAAATAGCTTGTGGATGTGTCTGTTATTTGAATTGTGCCGATTTGACTTGATTATATGTTAAGAAATTTTTGTCTAAGTCTTCAATATTTTTAATTTGCTTATATAATTCAGTTTTTCATCTTCCAAATCCTTAAAAAATAAAATTGATACAACATATCAGCTAATTCTTTATTAGTTGGTCTGTTTTGAGGTTCTGCGTCTAAGCATTTGTTCATCAGATCCAAAAGTAATTGAGGAACTTCGCATCTGATTTCAGGTCTATAACTAAGACAAATACGTGTTGTCAGCTCTTCGTTGTGTGGAATATCATGATATGGAGGATATCCAGTAAAAACTTCTGACATAATTATTTCGAATGAATAAATATCTGGTTTTTGAGTGTATTCCTTTCCTTTCCTTTTGTGTATACTGTAGTACTTCTGGGCCAATATACAGAAGTACACCAAAAAGTCCTTTAGAACTTGAATCTTGTGACATTGGCTTACATAAGCCAAAATCAGTAATGTAAGAATTAAACATATTTTGATTTGCTATATTGCCGGAATGTGCACTAATTTGTCTTTATGAATTGTATTAAGCCCACTAGCTATGTAATATAAGTTAGCTACTTTAGAAGCCCAATCTAATTCGCCAAATTTACTATCTAACAATTTTTTGAGACTTCCCTGTTTTGCGTACTCCATAACCATCATGTAGTTACCATCTTTTGGGTTCTTGGTTATTCCATGCAGAATCGCCCTCATGTTTATGTTGATTTTTAACCTAAATATTAATTAGGATAAATAAGATTACTACACTTTAATAATAATAAATTATAATGTCTACTTCTTCTAAAAATTCTTGTTTTATATCTTTAGAATTATCAAGACCCTTTAAACAAACATCTATTTGTGCTTCTCGTTCCCATGCATTCTTTTGATAATCAAACCCTATAGTATATCCGTCAATCCATACTGTCTTAAAAACGGTGCCAAAGCCTCCTTTAGCAAGATACTTTATATTTGTGAATTTGCTAAAGGATATCCATTCAATAATGTCTTTAAAATTCTCTGCATTAAGTTGTGTTTGTTGAATTAATTGATTAATGTCGTGATTTTCACTTGTCCAATTACGAAACTCTTCTTTAAACCTTAATATTAAAAAATAATAAATATAATAATAATTAAGAGCCAAGACTATCGATATTTCTGATTTGCTGTAAAAATTCTGCTATTACGCACTTCGTGGACAATATGGGCTGGGTGGGGCGAAATTGACAATTTTTTCAAAATAATTTTTTTTACATAAATCAATTTAGAATAAGATTAGAACCTTTTTTTATTTAAGTTACAAAAGCATTTGTATTAATAAAATTTTTGCAGTCTAGCTCTTTAAAGGTTGTATTTTTCTTATAATATATTATAAGATTTATAACATTAAAATTGATTTTCCAAAGATCTTTTTTTTTTCCTTTTTAACCCATATGTTCGATGATAAATAGTATTATTGTACTTACTTGCTATATTTATGTAAGTGATTTAGATAGAGTTATATTAGTTTATATTGGAATCAGAGCCCATGGACATAGAGAGACTATAGAGTGTCCATGGACATGGACTATCGAGTTTGCCAGGGCGGCTACTCCAAAATTCGCTAACGATCAATGTCACTGCCGCAGCATCCAATCAACAATCAATTATCGTTGTTTGCAAATTGCATTTAAAAAATCTGTGCTTGGTGTATAACATAGACAAATTTTTAAAGTTCATTAACGTTAGATTAGCGTTTCGCATAAAATTAGAAGGTAAGTGGTATATACAAGAAAAACTTTTTGTAGAACACTAAAGGTGGTTTATTTTACCAATTTTTGAGAAAATTCAAATGCTTGCAAATTGATGTGACTTTTGATTAAATTATTGAACCTACGTAGGTGCCGCACAAAAAATGCGCGGCAGATCCTCGATTTTGATTGGCTAAGATCGACGATCAAAAAATTAGGCCGGAATTACTCAAAATTTTACTAAAGAAATCGCCAATTTTACCATAATGCGGGCTTATTTTTTAAAAATTTCTATTTTTGTAATAAAATTAAAAAGTTAATTCCGGCCGGAAATTAGTAAACAATTATGTAATGCGGGCCAAAATTTTGAAGATCCTCGGCCGTTAGCCAATCAAAATCGAGGATCTGCCGCGCATTTTTGATTTTTTGAGCGGCACCTAGGGTTAATCCGTAGGGCTAGTGATGTGACTTCTTGAGTTTTTAAATAATAATGAAAAAATTAATAATTCGTTATTAAAATTATTAATAACAGTTAATAATTTCAATCATCGACAAACGAAGTAAATAAAAGCTTAGTCCGCAATGTGCAGAAGTATCTATCTGAGCAATTATTTGAAAAAATAATGACGCAGCCTTTTGTTTTTCATACATCCAGTATTAATTAGCTGCGTTATATATTATTAAGTCGTTATTAGTCAATAATTCGATCGATCAATAATAATTATTAATTATTAATAATTCAGCACTACGTTGAGCTGTTGCGCATTTTTTATCTTCGTATTAGGTGAATTTCACGAGAATACTCTACCTACCCGTAATAAGTGATGTACTATTTATTATGTATAATACTTTTTTTTTATTAAAACAAAAAATCACAGATAATCAGATATTTCGAATTTGTTTTACAATTACCAATAGAAAAGGTTGAGTTAATAAGAATTTATTTTGAACCAATTTTTAAAGATGCGAAATATTTTTCTTTAAACAAATATTTAAATAAAAAATTGAATTTAATAAAAATATTCTAAAAATAATCAGATTCAAGTTTTTTCATAACTTCGGATTTTAAGATATCTTTGTTAATTTTTATACTTAAAACAAACCATTTAATTTTAGGAATATAATCGGGACTGACATTATATCGTTCTCTATTTTCTCTGCTTAATTTAACTTCATAATCTAAAATTTTAAGAAAATTTTCAATTTTTTTACATATTTTATCACCATAATACTCATCATATTCAATCTAATGGTTTTAATAAATTAGTTTTCCAAATATATTCATTAATTACCCAGTCAATTACACCGTCAATCCACAAGCAATAACTGAAATCATTAATAAATAGTGTTAAATTTTTTTCTATATCTTTTTGTAAAAGGTCAAATAATGGTTTAATTTTATTAGCCATTATTAGAACGCATATTTCAATATTAAATGTTTCTATGTCAATATTCCAAAAAGAAATTTCGTCAATAAATTCTTTTCTTGTGAATGGTTCTTTATAAGAATAATTTGGTAAAATATTCTTTTCGTAGTATGTTAACACAAAAATTTCAAATATATGCATTTCTATCTCTTTTCCATCTATAAGTTTTTTTTTAGGTTTTAATAAACTTTTGTTTCTGTCTGCAAACATGGTTTCTAAATATGAACCAGGTTTTTTGATTTGGATATTGTAAATTTTTTTTTATCCAATCGTTAAGTTGATAATGTCTTCCATTTTAGTTTGTAAAAAAAAAATTTAAAAAAAGATTTATAAAATTATTATGCTATTGTTCCCGTATTTGTGTACTCGTAACAGGTTCACGATAACACCTATTCACATGGTTATTGTTCATGTGATATGATATCATCATTTATTAGTATTAGGGGGTCCTAATCGGTCCTGAGATGATTTAACAAATTACTACTTAGCAGAAACCTTTGAATTTTACCATTTATGATTATCATGTGATAGTTATATAACTATTATATGATAAAAATATGATAAAAATATTTTTAATCTGTTAAGTTACTATTAACAATATT